GGGGCGTCTACCCTCTTAGACCGCCAACCTGTGCACGGCCGTTTCGGGGGTGACACCCGGCATTTCTAATGCACTCCAGGCAAAAAGTTCCGCGAACTCCCTCAAAAGGGCGACGATGTGCTCTTTCATCTCGTCGGGTGCCTCTGCCGATATTCTCACCTGCCTTTCTGGGCGTCCTTCGTCTAGCGACACCATAAGCTCCCTGTCTGCAGCTTCGGCTCGGGGCGCCTCTTCTGCCGCGGTTTCCATTACGTTGACCCTTGCATCGGAAGACCTTCGCTTCCGTCCCGTTTCCTTCGCATACTGCGGGGCGCCTCGCCCTCGGACTACTCCTACTCCTTGCGGAGCGATGAACTTTAAGGTTTGATGACATGTAGAGGCCACCCCGTTGAATAAGGCCAGTAGGGGTCTTTCCAGGATCGGGTTGTATGGTGACGGGCAGTCCACTATCCCGAAATCGATGGCACGCGTCACCCTTTGCTCCACATCTCCTAAGGTGACCGCCAGGCGTACTCGCCCTATCACTCTTGCGGGCGCCCCCGAAAAGCCGACCAACACCGACTTCGATGGTCTGATAAGCTCCGGCGATAATTGCATGCGAACCACCGTATCTTTGAACAACACATCCATCGAACTTCCCGTGTCGACGAGCATCCTTCTAACCTGGCACCCCGCCACCACTCATTGTATTTCTAGGGCGTCCATCGAAGGGAGCATGCATGCTTCCTCTGGCGCCCTGTTGAAACTGATATCGATCGCCTCCTGCACGTCCGTCGATGCCGCTCTCAGGCGCCGATTTGCCTCTATTTTTTCCCTCAAGTCCATCGTTACCGAAATAGCTTCGATGGTCAGGCGCACCCGTTCGGGCGCATTTTCTTGGTCAAGGTCATAGGGCGGGGGTGGTAGCTCTTCCCTCGCCTTTTCCATACCGGCCACGCACGCGCGTTGCACTCTCTCCTCAGGATTCCTGACAAAGTCGTTGAGCATCCCTCTGTCGGCCAGGCCGTGCAACTCGGTCTTCAGTTGATAACAGTCGGCTGTATGGTGTCCCACCTCTCGGTGAAAGTCACAATATTGATCAAGATTTCGTTCATTGGGCTGCCCCCTCATGGGGCCCGGCCACCTGATGTGATACCCTTTTTCCTTGACGTGCTGGAGTATGTTCTTCAGCGTGTCAGCGTACTCAGCGAAGGTTCCCGCTCCCCTGGACGTCCGGCATCCGGCGTCCATTCTTTTCGGTGGGGGGGGGGGGGGGGGGGGTTTCGAGGGCGCATACCCTGAACCGCTTGGAGGGTGCGGCCTCCTTGCCATCTCTACCTCTTCCCCTCTTGTCTTCCGCCTGTCTGCCCTCCTGGCTGCTAAAGTTTCTTCGAGCATGATCACCTTCTGCACCCTGTGATCCAGATCTTCGGTACACACAACGTCTCTTTTTGCCAGTGACCTGCACAACTCCTCGCTGGTGGTGCACTCGTTCAGGCATACTCCCAATACCGACGGCTGCGCATCTTTCACCGCCAAGGCCACGGACAACCACCTCTCATAAAACTCCCTCAGGGCCTCTCCATCTCTTCGCTTGACCTTGAACAGGGCGCCTATGGTCAGGGTGCGACGCTTCCTGCTGGCGAACTTTGCCAGAAACATCTCCGCAAATTGCTCAAAGCACTCGATGCACCCCTCTTCAATCTGGTAGTACCAGTCGAGGACCACGCCCGCGAAAGTTGATGGGAACACTTTGCACAGGGTGGCGTCTGTGCTGTTGTAGAGTTGCATCTTGGTGAAGTACCCGTTGAGGTGGTCCTCTAGATCAGCGGTTCCATCATAGGTGGGGAGCGGGGGAATGTTAGTCCCCGCGGGTTCCATCAGTATGTTACGCGCCAAAGGCTGTTTCACGGGGCGGTGATGTGACAGGCGCCCCAAAATTCCTCCGTTCCACCCCCTGCGTCCGACCCTTCGTACTCTCGTGGGCGCCACAAACTGGGACGCCTCTGGTATCCCGACTAGCTTTCTGTCTCGGCCACTCTTTCTCTTTTCTTCGTTGGGCTGGGCGTCATCCCTCCGCCCCTCTTCAGCGCGTCGACCTCCCTTCGAAGCGCCTCAATCGCTCCGTCTTGGTCTTCGATGATTCTAAACAGCTCTTTCTTCGTCACCGAGGCGCCTTCCGACCCTCGGAACATGCCATCGCTTTCTTCACCTTCCTCCATCTCGGGCGCCAGCCCCCTTAACCGCTCCGACTGGTCCTCCGTAATCTCCTCTCTTTCTCTTTCATCATTCATCGACGTCTCCTCACTCATGATTCTCGGTTATATTCCCCTTCCTGGCGCGCCAATTGTTTGTGCCACAATACCCGCCAGAACACCTGAAGCGTCACTTCGCCTGGCGCCTGCCTGCACACACAAAGAGGAGGGCGCCTGGGCCCGTTAATCCTACGACGCCCAAGTTAGTTCCTTAGAGAGGGAAGTGTCCCGAAATAGGAATTGTAGTCAAAGAGTCCAACCTGTGTAAATGCTACCAACTGCCCCTATTTATACTCACCGAACTCGAGGTTGATCTCCTCCATGTCACTGTCCCAATTTAATGCTTTGTACTCTCTTTGTCAGATATCTCAACCACCTTGTCAGGCTTCTGACGCGTGACAGGCGCCCGCAGGTGATGGACCACCTGACAGCCTGATCTCTTTTGGCCTTTAGTGTTTTGTCCTTATGCGCCCTTCCTCTTATTTGGGCCTTGAGGTATTTCCCAGAACCCTTTTTGGGCCTTGCCCCCCAATTCCGTTGCCTGGGGGCCCAGATCCCTAGTTGATGGGTAATATCCCCAACACCTTCGATTCGCTTACTGTATTACAACCCAAAATAAGAGAAAAATCATGTAAAATGAGTAAGGTTGTAGAGGATTTGATTCTAACTGCTAAACTATATAGGATAAAGTCTTCTCTACCAATAAGTTACTAACACATGCACAATATATTCTTCTCTATGTAAGACGAGCTAAATACTGCTACAACGTTTTGATTGCTTTCCTTCATTAGCAAGCTTCATATCCTTCCTTCTTTCTTCTGCACAAGCTTGCATGTTTCCACTATCTTCATGTTTTGCTGGTTCTTTGACTCGTCTCGAATACCACAATAGAACTCCCAATGAAGGTCCAAGTATAAATCTTAATTGGGTGCAATATATGGCAAATATGTTTAAATATCGACTTGGGCCGGTTCATGTACCCTTACTTCGATTGTTTGTAACAATATCTAGCGGTTGATTTTTTATGAAAGCAACAATCTATAGCTAAAACGTTTGCAAAGGTAAATGGATTTGACACTAATTGAGAAGGCTTCACCCGGGTGTTGCTCCCACTATCTAACAATTACGCTTGTTGGATCGAATGGTCGTGTGTGGTAAGTGGGTTGTAAACCGTATGGAAGTGCAACAAGTAGCCAAGCGCCACTCTCTCGGTCTCTAGGTCGAGGGAAGGGAATTAGATTCAAGCCACCAACTTGACTCTCTCGACCTATTAACTAAGGGTTACCAAGACTTCACCCTCGAATCGGAGTTCGGACGGCCACCCACAACCAACCCTAGGTGCTAATACGAATAAGAGGTTTGTCCTGCATTAACCTAGGTAGGAGACAATGAATCGCCTAAGAAAACTCAGCATTCAAGCCTCTTTCAAAGAAAGGAAGGGGGGTTTTTCTCTACCTAGCTTAGAATGGCAATTAGATTGATAGGCTTTCACACAACACAATCATTCATGAATTGTAGCTAGGGTTTACAAACACCAAAGTGAAAGAAGGGATTGCTCCATATGCTAGGAGAAGGGAAAACACAAGAGAGAAGAAGAAAAACCATCAAAAGATGCTAGCCTTGCTCCTTGTGTTGAAGAGATCCTCCTTTGGGGAGGAATTCCCAAATCCTTGAATGAAGATGAAACCTTAGCTTCTCCTCTTCTTTGGTTTGTCACTTTCTCACTCTAGAAAAATAAAGAAGAGGAAGTTTCTCACACTAGGTCTCCCCCTTTTCCCCTTCAGCTCAACCTCCTTTATATACCTAGATCGGGCTCAGATCACGGTCCCAGTTCATGGCTATGAACTGAAAGCCCGGACCACAATCTCAAGTCGAAACGCGCTGCATCACTAAGTTCAGTTCACGTGCAATGGCATGAGTTCACGGTCTTACGACCGTGAACTGACTTGTGTCAAGTGAAAGTGATTTGTGCTCTGGATGCCTAGTTGTTCACGGGTAGTGCCTCCAGTCACGGTCTTAGTGACCGTGAACACACAACCCAAACCGTGATCTCTTGCTGCTTCCACCCTTTGACTTGATTTTTCGCCCTTTCGTCCAACATTCGACTCCGGGGTTGGTTCCACCTGTCAAAGTTTGGAAAATACCAAAACATGGCGTAACACCAAACCTGCCGGAGTAAAAATGCTTCAAACGACTAAACAAATCGTTGGCAAAAAAATGTGCAAATGAACACGAATCATTCTTCTTCATGTTTCTTTTCTTATCTTCATGTTTCACTGACATGAATGACTCTAATAATCAAATCTAAAAGACGGGCCGGTGACTCTACATCATCCAAGCTGTGGAACAAAACTAACAGTTGGGCTCCAAAGATTTGGTTCCCACATTATTTATTTCTGATGCACGTCCGTAAGTGGACAAAAACTAACTAGGACCACTTGCATGGATCCATCCCGAACTCACCTGCGACGCATTACTCTTTCTGTTCCCTTCTGGCTCCCGTGAACTCCAAAATACATCCAAAACGTACCATTTCCTTTCATATGTATTACACTATTATTTGTGGTTAATTTCTTAGCTTGACATGTGATTCTCTACACTCCAATCCAAAACCCTTATCTCTTCACCATTACCATCCCCTCTCTCTCTCTCCCAAAGAACACCAACCATATCAATAAAATGCACTCTCCATCGTCCAATATAACGACTCGCTAGAACACCTCACTGACCCTTTCTCTCCGGTGCACCTAAACGTCCTTACGTACAATGGCGCCTTGCTATATCCTTCTACTTCTTCTGGCAATATTATTGTCTACTTATCCCGCTCTCTTCTGTACCGCCACCCCCGAAAACGACGACTTCATCAGGACGTCGTGTGGGGCGACCAGGTACCCGGAACTCTGCTACTCCACGCTGTCACCCTACGCCGCCGACGTAGGGAACAGCTTCCCTCAGCTGGTGACCGCGGCGCTGCGCGTCACCCTAGACGGCGCCGTTTCGACGTGCGGCGCAGTCCGGAGCCTGGCTCGGGCGGCGCCGAGGCGGATGAAGGGCAGCGAGCTGGCGGCGGGGGCGGTGAGCGACTGCGTGGGGAACATGAAGGACTCCGTGGACCAGCTGAAGGACTCGATGGCGGCGATGAAAGGGCTGGATCACGGTCCGGATTTCGCGATGGAGCTCGGGAACATGCAGACGTGGGTCAGCGCGGCGTTGACCGACGAGGACACGTGCGTGGATGGGCTGGAAGGGAGCGCGATGAACGGGAAGGTTAGGGACGAGATACGGCGCCGTGTTGTTTGGGTTGCCCAGCTCACTAGTAATTCTCTCGCGCTTATTAATCGTCTGTAGCTGGATATGTTTGCGCACTATAGCTAGGTGGATTATAGTGTTGTTAATAAATTTCTGGGATTTCAGAATGCAAGTTCTATTGTGTCTCAATGCGTGCAAGTTTAAATTTTTGGGTGTATCAAAGTTCAGCACCAATTAATTACGCTGATTTTCACAAATCCTCCCACCTATGTGACAACGTGGATGTCCCTGATTGCTTCTTTCAGGTTCACGAGAGACACAATTTCTAATGAGAATCTTATCCGGTAATTTAATAATCTAATACGACCCTGGGGAGTATATGTTATCAAAGTAACGCAGCTAACGATTCAATTGAAGAATCGATTGAACTCGAATCAAGAACGAAACATTCTTAATACAAACTTGGATAAAACGGAACCAAAAGTATGAATCCACACCCGGGGATAGCTCGATTGGGTTAAAGGGTAGTTGCTCAACCACGATTGAAATGGCTATTCAATCGATACGCAAGCTCAGCCTGTTTGGAATCCACCAAACCCAACAAGTTCGCAAAATTGAACAAACCAAACGGTTTCTTTTCGATTCAACAAAGTCCGACGATTACAATGCAAAAGACGAATTTAAATAGGCCTAGCTAGGGTTAACTTTGGTAAAAGCAACTCCTGATTACATTCTAATACGAATAAGAACTAAAAAGTAGCAAAAAGAACCTAATTCTAATCGAATAAGGAAAACAATTATGTTTTTTACAAAGGCAGAATTTTGTGACTTCGTACTAACTTCGTGTCTTTCGTTCGAGGCCTTCCAGATCTTCAGTCTTTCATCCAATTCCTTCTCTCGGTAGACAAACATACATATTTTAATTTTGTGGAAGCCTTTGGACTCGAATCAAGTCCATACTCCTCAAATTAAGCTCCAAAGTAGGCTTAACAAACCAGTTTTCTACCTTAACCATTTTCAGGCATTTTTCAGCTTTCCAGATAGCAACTTTGGACGTCTGGAAAATAGTCTTGATCGATTCTTCTAGATCCAAAAACCATACCAATGTGTATAGGGGAACTTTATCTTAGAAAAAAAAAACACCTCACCTTGAATTTCCACCGAGCCAATTGAGAGAACCATGCCTCCAAAGTAGGCATCTCGAAACTGTTCCAATACTTGGCCAAATTCTGTCTTTCTTTTTCCCAACTTCGATAGCTTCTTCTTCAGGTAATTTAAACGTATAGAGCTAGCTATTTAGGATCATATCATAACCCAATGAATCACGAGGGTTTCTTCTACCTAGATCCAAGAACAACAACGAATTCATGTATATTTTTCGCGACATTGTAAAAAAGAAGAAAAAGGTATGATTCGAAGCTTAGTTTATGATGTTTTGGAAGAACGTAGCTGGACGCCATTGTCGATCCCTTTCTCCCTTTGATTAATTGGTAAGAAGGAAAGCAGGGATTAGAGGATTGACTTTGACTGGGGTGTGAGCACTTTGAGTGGAGGTAAAAGACAGGGCGTGGGTGTGATGTGGAAATAAACAACTTTTTTTTTAATTTTTAGCTGATACATTATTTACTTAATGGTCAAAATAGAATATGTCCTTGCAGATAATTTTACAATATTATATAGCATTGGTACTATAAGTTTTTGTCTTTATGGTGCAACTTGAAATTGTACCTTTAACGTTATGGTACAATTTCAGATTGTACCAATACTTTTTGTACAAATTCTTTTATGGTACAACTTAAACTTGTACCTTATGAGATGATACAACTTCAAGTTGTAAAGTTGTATCATAACATAATGATACAAATTTCTTTATGGTACAACCTAAACTTATACATTTAATGTTATGATACAACTTCAAGTTGTACATTAAAGCATCAATGCTATATAGCATAGTAGAAGTGCTTGCAACATTTTGTTTTTTGTAGAATTGGATTGATGGTGATGATCATTAGTGACATGTAAATATAAAGGCAGTAGACAAATGCAAACAATTAAATTGAGAAACTGAATGACAAACGTATCATTTCATTAAGAGGATTGCTAAACAATATCATCCTACTGAACTTTTAAGCTATAACAATTATAGAAAATTTGATCTAACATTTACCCGTGCAAATTTAGCCATTGGCCGGGTTGTGACATATATGTGCGTGTATGACAAGGATCAAATGATGTGTGAGTCTATGAACAGTTCGATTTGGAAGAGAAGTGTTGCCGCTTATATGGCGCTGTTGGGATCAAATATTGGGAAGCTTTGCGGCTGACGATTCCACTTTTCAAGAGGTGAACAAATTACCATACATATTATAGTTTTCCTTAATATATAGTTATATTTGTTTTACCTAATGGTTTTTGTGATAAACAGCAAAAAAAAAAATTATATGGTTATATAATTTCTATAGTTGTTATGTAATTGGTATAGGTGGTATAGTTGTTATATATGTGTTATAATGGTTATAGTTGTTATAAAAGTTGTTTGTTGTTACTTTAACATTGATATGATGTCACCAAAGGTAATATAGTCTAACGGTAAGCTGTCGCGACAGTGAAAGTTTGGAAGGTGCAGATCATAAAAAAAACGTTGATATATATGATGTCAGTTTTTCGGATTAATAGTATAAAAGGTCATTTATGTTTGGGGTTACTAACAAGTCACGTACATTTTCAATAATTAATATATCGCTCAATTAATCAACCTCATCAAAATTATATTTAACCAAAAATCATTACTCAAGTTTAATCAAAACAAAGCCAAACAATTCGAAATGTCTGACCCAAACCTCATTGATTTACTAGAAACCAACCTAATCTGCCCTTTCTCTGGACTCTCACTTCTCTTTCTATTAAACTGATGTCGTTTGTATTAATATTGGTCAATACGTGTTAATTTGAAAATAAAAGTACCCTCTTTCAAGTTAGTATTTAGTAACCAATTCATCAAAATCTCACAGGTAGGTAAGCATTCACTTATACAATGTTTAGCAAATACACTCCTAAGTCCCATTTACAACACTTATTTATACTAACTACTCAATCTCTTTCGTTGCTATGCTTGTCGGCTCACAGTGTCTGACGACAGTAAGGGCACGTAGAGTGTGACCGGAACCACACCCTGAGGTAAGTGTCTGACTTGCAGGCTGGTAGCTCTCAGAGCTGGTCACCAGCTCTGTACTCCTCTAGGCAGATCCTACACTCGATGGTATGCTCTCCATTCTGAGTAGAGAACTCCCAGGCCGGGAGTGAAACAGGTTTCTTCGAAGACACAAACTGAAGCTCCGGAACCACCGGAATCGGCCCAATCTGGAGATTCCGAGGGGGTGGAGGAGGCTGCTGAGGGGCCCAGGAAAAAATGTGCTCCGGAGCCAACGAAAGCACAAGTAGGCCCCGTACACTAAAATGATTGTGCCAAGGACAATGGCCACGATCACAGTGGCCCAGTCCCTGGTCGGCTCCTCAAGGGGCTCCGAACCCATTGTTATGAATCTTTTACCACTACTTTGTGTATTTTTGTTTACTTTTTTTCCTTACAAAATCTAACGGGAACCCATTGTAAACTCTTTCGTATATATATACTTTTCATCGAAGAGACTTTGACTGCAAGTTGGTGTTGATGTTTGTTGCTTGGGCATTTCGGGCTTCCGTTCTTATGGGCCTTATTACTTGTTATTAGAGTTGCAAATGAGCCGAGTCGAGTCGAGTTTTGCTAAACTTGAGCTCGACTTGTTACTTAACATAAACATTTGTTTCTTAACATCAAAAGCTGTTTCTTAATTCTCTCAAAATCCGGATTCAGCCCCCTAAGGAATCTAATCAGGTAGTCAGTTTCTTGCTTCTGATTGTAAGCCACCACTGCAGTACAAGGGTCTGGATTTCTTGGAATACAGTTGCATTCCAAAATTGGGTTGTATTCTGTATACTCATCTCACAGACCTTTGAACAGAGTATATATTGGGTAATTGACATGGTTCCTTGCTTGCATCTATGGATTTCATCCTCTAGGTTCGTCAATCTTAGGGGTGGACAACGGGACGGGATGGGATACTCATCTCGTTTGAAACGGGTACCCAATCCCACTTTAAGAGCAAAGTCCATTCCATGTCCCAAACCCATAAGGGTTAACGGGTACCCGTTACCAGTACGGGACGGATAACGGGTACCCAAACTACCCGTACATACCCGTTCAATTAAAAAGAGAAGAGTTCTATAAAGCTAACATACAACAACCGAAGTGTAAACTGAAACATTTTAGCCTAGTAATCTGATCGTATGAAGCTAAATTTAATGATGAATTCAAACAAAAAGAGTACAGAATGAAAGTGTTGGATGTGCTGTTGATTTTCCTTGGTTTGTTTGAAAGGACTTCAATATCAGGAAAGGGCTGGGCTTGGATTTTATTATGAGTTTGGACAGCATTGTTGCCCATTATTGCCGTCTTGCCGAGGCTGTATAGTGATGATTAGGATTTTTTGTTCTTCTTGTATGTATATTTATAGTAGGAATTTTGTATATATATTTATTATAGGAATTTTTGTTAAGCTGGTACTTGTTATATGCATATTTATTGTAGGATTTTTTTTGCTAACGGGTATTACGGGTACCCGTAATACCCAAACGGGTATTGACGGGTAACCCGTGGGTACCCGTTGTAGAAATCATTGATCCCAAGTCCCATCCCATTAAAAATAAAACGGGTATTTGGGTACCCGTAACCCTCAAAAAACGGGACGGATATGGGTATACCCAAATACCCGTTTCCCGTTGTCCACCCCTAGTCAATCTATTAGCATTTAACTGACCAGGTAACAAAAGCTTTGTTGCAACTATCCCACAAAGGAAAGCTTGGATCGTTTCTGGCAGGAATCGCCATAGATCCATCGATGAAACCCAATTTGTGTTTCATTTTTAGAGCCTTCTTTATGGATCTACTCCACATGGAGTAATTGCTCCCATCGAGTGACTCAGAAACAATCGGTTGTGAGAAACTCTCATTTGAGTTCAAGTAGAGAGGGTACCAAAGACGACGACTTTGATCTGCTCCAAAAGACCCAAACTGAAATCGTCTGTTGTTGGAAACGCCATAGGCATTCTGAGATCTGTCGCAGACATTTTGGGTATCTTCGATGGATTCAGTTTGCTCAGACATCATGTTGCGGAAGACGACCTAGATCGGCCGCTCTGATACCATATTATGTTTCAAGAATTAGGGTAGATTGTAGCCGAAAACTCAGAGACAGTAGTGACCTGCTCTGTTCCCTTTTATATGCAGCTTGGAATTTGTTTTACAGATAATAGCCACGTGTCACACTATGATTGGCTGTGTTTAAACACTAACAACACTTTAATGGCTAATCTACCATAAATCAAAACGGTGCGTAGCACCACTAAGACACAATATCTTCTGCTTTACCAGAAACGTTTCAAGTCTTCTTCTTCTTCTTCAGAACAATCCTTCTGCAATGTGGATTCCTTCAGTTCAACGACTTTGTCAAACCAACTTCCTAATTCCTCTTTCCCATGCAAATTTCATGCCCTGCACAATACCTGAGAGAGCCGCTCGAGTTATAGAACCAACACCTAGATTCATTGAGAATGCCTATAATAGTCGATTCTCTGTCGCCCTCAAAACTCCACATGTCGCCGCCAGGCCATTCACTACGGAGCCAACCGAATTCCAACAAATCCAGCCCTTCGGGGGATTCGCCCACTTTATTAAACATATTTTATTGGTAATGTTTCTTCCCGAGAGCTTCTTGTCTCTACTCATGGCCAACAATACTTGCTCCTTGTGTTGTCGTGCAAGGTCAGCAATTTCTTCTAGGGATTTAATCTTCTCTTTAAACACGTGCTTGTTTCTATTCTTTCACAGCAACCAACAAATGCTCACAAAGATTGTAGGATCCATAGTATTGTTGCACCCTAAAACAGAAGAGCAACCACTTGTTTCTGTCCTCCTAGAAGAAAACTTCATTTGGTTCACTATCAATGAAGTTGCACAAACCTCTCGAGAGAATGGGCAGTCTCTCACCACATACAAGGCACGCCTGCGTAGGCCTAATATGTCATCGATGCCTCTCATTACGTCAACAACCTGCCATGAGAAGTAAGCCAAAAGAAAGAACGCACTCTTTAGGTATGAAGCCCTGCAAATAAGCTATATTCCACTCTCCGTTCGGCACAAGGTCGGCCACGGTCAGCGATAGCGCTTCCTCCGTTAAGTTCACTGCGTACTCAACCAGAATTGCGTCATCTTGTAGCCACCGATCTTTCCGGAACAAAGTTTGTTTTTCACAACGAATATTCCACATAGTAGCGTCGGGAAGGAGGTGCATCACTCGTATCACCCCTCGCCACAGGTTCGACATTCTGCCTGTGGTCTCGGGGCCAATCCATTCTCAGTCCACTTCATGTATTTCGCTCGCACGATACACCCAAAGGCTTTCCGACTCTGTGAGAAAGCGCCATGCAATTTTCAACACAAAAGCTTCATTCTTTCTGGTGGGGCTCTGCAGCCCCAGACCACCTTCAGCCTTTGGTCTACAAAGAGTATCCCAATCAATGAGATGAACCTTTTTCCCTGCCTCTAAGGTGTCCCACACAAAAGCCCTTATCTTCCTGTCGATATACTCCCTCACGGTGGCTGACAAAAATATAATATTGAATATTCTGATTCATTCCTGCAGTAGATTGCAATTAGTAAATGATATAAAATTAATAATTAAAAATTCTTTAACAGTTCCAGTTATTAAGATCTAATTTGTTATAGTATTATAATTTTCTATAACCAATATGTCTTCTGTTCGAATTTCGAAGATTCTTATTTGTTAAACACATTATTTTAGAATATATACAAACTTAAAGTCTATATGAATTAGCTTTTGTTTGATAGGAATTAACGTGTTAGCTGGGGGTCACTATAAAAGTAGCACTTACAGATGGCAATTTCAACCCGACCCGTTTTACACGACATGTATGGTTTGTTTTGGGGCGGGGCGGGCATGCATGAGTACTCTCATCGACCTGACCTGCACTGACCCACCACATTCTCGACCCTTTCTTGCCTAAATTACATGCAATCGTAGTCAAATTATTTATGATTTTCCTTTTATTACACCTTGCTTTAGCTATAATAAAGTTGTAAATTAGTAAAAACCTTGATTTCTCCAGTAATTCGACTACATTAATCATATTATGTTTTGTTTTTTGGTCTTATAATGAAAATAACAAATATTTCTAATGTTTTTTTTTTTTTTGCAAAGTCAGGGTAAAAATTTCAGTCATACAGAGGAAATAAATAATGCGCGGGAGTCGACCAATAATCGAACTCCTGATGAGAGAGCTTTTTGTGCCACATGATGGGCGGCCCTATTAAGTCGACGAGAAACAAAGCAGAAAGAAATCCAACTGAATTGGGAAGCTAGGACCCGGGCATCTTCGAGCACAGCTCCACTCCGATCATGAGCAAAATCGTCCCCCACCATTCGTCGTATCAATTGTTGTGAGTCCCCATGAAATTTGACAAAAACAAAGTCATGGGTCAAGCACCATTGTAAAGCATCTCTTAGGGCTAAACATTCCATAACAAAGGGATCTTGTAAGCCTTCATAACATTTCCCGAAAGCGAAGAGAATATTACCTGATGCTTAGACACCCACAAAAACAATTCTTCCGCCTTGTCCACGCTTAGCCGCAGCATCGAAGCAAACATTTATTGTGTTTGGAGGAAGTCCATTCACAGTCAGACCGCCATTTCCAGGTCTGCTGGGAGCAGCTTTGTCAGTCCCAGTTGAATGTCCAAGGAGACAACACAAGCCTTAGCATCAAGTGATGAATCACCAACATGGAGAATTCAATAGCCGAAGAAGCATCCCTGCAAACCAAAATAGAGAAAACGGAACTAGGACCCTAAAATGCAATAAACCATTTAAAGGATACAACGCTCTATCAGCAGCCATAAGGAACCTGCAAAATAAGAAAACAAAAAACAAGCCAGGGGATCTTGTGGCAGCCATTTGGACATCCTCACAGTCGAACTGAAGGAGATCCCAAGCGAGCAGCACAATCAACGAGCATGATGTTGAAAGCCGTTATCGGGCAGCACCCACGAAGCAAAAAATGCAATCTACTATCATAGAGAGGAAATTTAACCGTTCTATTTTTTTTCCTTCATGAATTTTTTTTTAAAACTTACGCAATAATTGTAGAATATATAAATAAAAAGTGTCAAAAGAATAATTGAAAAACAAAAAAATTATGGAGGATAATTATAAAGAAAACTAAAGAAATAATAAAAACAATAAGAGAGGGATACTTATCGGAACCGTCGTTAGAGGTAGCGTAACCGCCACACTGCGTCGGGATTGTAACTGGCGGATCTGTTGAAGGCTGCCGCCGTCTGGAAAAACGGCCGTTCTGCCTCTCCCGATGACGAATCCCACGGCCTAGCCCGAATCCCAGCCTGCAATCACCACGCCGTCCTTCCGCAACTTCATCTCCCGCTGCTCCTCCTCCGTCGGCCAGTGCTTCTCCCAGCGCTGCCCTTGAACGGAACTCATCGACTGCTCCTCCGCATTCGCTCGCCCTGGCTCCCTCACCGATTCGCCATCCGGATCCGCAAGGCATCCAAGTCGTACTGACTCCTAGGACGGAACTTATTATTATTTCTCTCTCTAGTTAGCTAGCACCGCCTTTCGCCTTCGTAGACTCGCCGGAGGAGTGCCTCTTTGACTCCATAATAAAATGAAATGTTTAACTTGCTAGAAGCAAACCGGATCGAGGCCGTCCGAAGAAAGGAGGGAACAAAATCGAACTGCATATAATTGATATTTATTATTTATATTAGGGGTGAAAAATAAGTTAAAAGTGAGAAAATACAAGTAGTTTCACAAATTCGGTTTTGTGTGAAAAACCGAACCAAATTATAATTCGGTTTAAACCGACCGAACCAAATTATAATTTGGTTCGAATTCAGTTTGAGGTTTGGGAAAATTCGAGGACCCGGTATTCATAATTTCGGTTCGATCGAAACCGGACCGACCGAATGTCCACCGCTACTGCCACCCGAGACCTGCCCATTGCTATTCCTAGTAGCGCTGCCGAGTCACGTTGTGAAAATGAGAGCCTAGCAAAGCTGAAGAGTTGATTAAAGTGGAGAACCGAACTGAGTTTGAACTTTGAACCATGGTTGTCAAATCGAGGTCGAACCGGGTCTGACCGGAACCCGGCACTAAAAGGGCCAGAACCAGCCATAATTAGAGCTGGCCGGTAGCCGGTCAAAACCGGGGGAAACCGGGGTCTGACCGGACTGATTCGGCTCCCGGTTTTGAGGAAAATGGCGTCGTTTTTGGCTGGTTGGAACTTCTTCCAACTTCAATAACCCTAATACCCGTCCGCCGTTCCCAAATCTCCTCCCTCCCTCGTCGAGCCCAGCCAGCAGAGCAGAGAATACCTGCGGCAACAACCAGCACAACGCAGCCGCTCGCCGTCGGCGCTCCCCTCGTTGCGCCACGCCGGCGCTCCACTCGCCACTCCTCGCCGGCGCTGCCCTCTTCTCGACCCAGCTCTGCGCTTCCTCGCCGTCGGCCTCGTCGACCCAGGTCCCCGCTTCCTCGACGCCGCTCGCCGTAGGCCGCCTCGACCCAGTGCCCCTTTCCTCGACGTCGCTCGCCTTCAGCAGCCTCGACCCAGGTTTGATTTCCTTTTTCAGCCGTGGAAGTGAGATTGGGTTGTTGATTTCCGTTTTCATCTCCAAAAAGCTAGCTAGCTAGGGTGGCTCATCATTAGGTAAGGTAGGTAGGTGGTGCCGTGTCCAAGTTACCAGCAAGATTTTGCCAAGTTTATAATTGTTCATTAATTCATAGAATTTTGCTATGCTCATGATGATTGGGTATGATAAATGTTGCATATTTTTACAGGTTGATAGATGGAATCAGGCAATGCATCAAGTCAGCCCTCAGTTACCAGTAGTGTTGTTGGTGCTATTGGATCTCGGACAAAAGAAGATCCTGCTTGGGGCTATGCTGAGGAAATTCGCACTGAAGATGGAAAGACGTGAATCAAGTGCAAATTCTGTGGTCATTTGATACAAGGAGGTGGAATTCATCGAGTGAAGAAGCATTTGGCTGGAGAAAGGGGTAATGTTGCAGCTTGCAAGGCCGTTACTCATGATGTTCGTGCGAGGTTCAAAGCTCTACTTTGAAGATGTTTGATTGTCTCCTTTAATTTTTAGAGTATGAATTTCAAGTAAGAACAATTGAATGTTGTCATTTGTGGGATTCAAGTATGAATATTCTGATAAATGTTTGGATGTTATTCACTTATTCTAGATGTCGGTGTTTAAAACTTCAAATGTGAGGATTTGGTTTGTAATGATGTATGTTATTTATATATAAATTTAAGTGTATTAAGAATTTGAGATTGTGTTTGAGATGTCATATATATACATATATGGTGCCTTCTATGGTACCCCGGGTGAAATCTGGGGTGCCGCATACCTTGAGTATGAAAACGCTATCTAGACCTCGAATTAGCAGGATTTTTGGGCATGATACTATACCCTAATCCTTAATGAGTGAACCCTAGGTCCTAATTATCTAAATCATAAACTATAAACCCTAAGATGGTGCATTGATTTTTTTGCCTATATTTGGACGAATCATAACCGTCGATTATTCTTTCTAATTAAATTGATCTTGGGGTATAATATTTAGAGAGTTAAGACCTAGATTTTGATCTTTAAGAGTTAGAGTATAGTATCATGTCCGAAAGATCAGTCAATTCAAGTTCTGGATAGAGTATTCTTACTCAATGTATGCAGTACCCCGGATTTCACCCTGGGTACCGTAGAACTCCCCATATATATATATATATATATATATATATATATATATATATATGCATAATTTATTAGGTCTCAATGGCTCTCCAAGTATATCTTGTCAAAACCGGCTTAATCCGGTTGAACCCCGATCCGACCATTAAATCCCAAACCCTTTGTCAAACCGGCCGAATGACTTAACCCGGTTTGACAACCTTGCTTTGAACCGAAGAGAAGGCAGCGGGAGAGAGAGCACAACTTGCCGCCAGTTGCGCTTATCTTTCGGGTCGGTCCCTCGTCCGCCATCCGTTAGCCCAACTTGGCTGGCTGGGCCCAAATTTAATATCTTCGATTGGTACTTTTACTTTTGGGCCCAGCGATAAAGCACCCTACCCTATTTGTTTCCCATCTCTATTATTCGTGACTGGGTCTTTGCAGCTAATCATGCAGTGCAGATATTTTTATTCAGCAAAATGGAACTTTCAAGATATTTGTGTTCTGACTCATCAGCTAAATCTTTTACATGCATTAGAAGATACATAGATAGAAATGCATGCAGTGCTCGAACAAGTTAATTTTTCACTTTTGGCACACATCTCTTCCACGTGAACGATCCGGATCTAAATTATTTGTTGTTTATCAGAACATGGATAATATCATGAGTCAGAGAGATTAATGATATGAATTAGAACGCTCTAAACATTTATCTTACTACCAAGAAAAAAAAAACCATGTACCACTCTAACCGGGCTTACAATTCTCTTATCCTTTTCAATATTTGGTCTACCATTATAATGTATTTTAATCCTGAAAAACAACAGTAGTTTTTCTCATTTCAAACACTTCTTCATCTTTTTTAAATCATATAGGCTTCGATAATGTATATAAGAGCGTGTTCTGAAAATTCCTATAGTGCCAATGTCCATAGATAATTATCTGAATTACTGGATATGACAGAATCATAGTAGGTTTCGTAAAATTACTATTACCTACACAATCCTAAACCCTTAATCTTTCAAACTCATCGTGACTAATCATTCCAACAGTTTAACCTTAATTAATTGGTGTATTATATTATACCATATGCAACAAAAACAACTTAAACATGGACATGGAAGAGGTCCCATTCGGCCATTCCCATCCATCTAGAGTTGTCCCTGACGAAAAAGAAAAAAGCAAAAGGGAATTGAGGGGGTCCATTAAATTATTGTATACATAATATACAAACAAAATACGTTAGCCATCCCTCTACCGTTCAAATTACTGTATTTCATTAAACATTTTATTTGTTTCCATTACTTCTCCTGCCCTATAAATTGGACGCCTTCGTTTCCCTCATCCCTCATCCACAACCAAATCCAAATCCACCTCATCCCTCTCACAAACCAAAAAAAAGCCCAATCACAAAGCCCAGCCCAATCCAATGGCAGCTTCCTCCTCCTTTTCCACCTCCGCCCTCTCGGCCGCTCTCCTCTCCGCCGTACTAACCATCTCACTTCTCGCCTCCACGTCATCCGCCTCCGGCAGATCCCTCTCCGGAGCGACGACCAACACAGAGTTCGTCCGCACGTCCTGCATCGCCACCACGTACCCTCAGCTATGCTACAACTCTCTTGCCGTCCACGCCACCAAAATCCAGACCAGCGCCAAGCTCATGGCCTCCACCGCCCTCGACGTCACCCTAGCGTCAGCGAAGTCAACCTCCGCCGCCATGGTCAAGCTCCAACAGTCCCACGGTCTCACCCCCCGCGAGACAGCGGCGATGCGCGACTGCGTGGAGGTGCTCGGTGACTCCGTGGACCTCATCCGCCAGTCCATGGCGGAGATGGCGGCGAACAAAGGCGGCGCGGATTTCGGGATGATGATCAGCGACGTGCAGACGTGGGTCAGCGCCGCCTTGACCGACGAGAGCACGTGCACCGACGGGTTCGGCGAGAAGGCCGTGGCCGACGGGGAGATGATGAAGACGGCGGTGAGAGGGAAGATTGAGACGATTGGTCAGCTCACCAGCAACGCCTTGGCTCTCATCAACGCCTATGCTACTCTCCATCACTAGATTGTTATATGCACATTTTATGTTAATTAGTTGTTTGATAATCGTTAGATGTTTTTGTGAACTGTTGATTAGTAAGTGAAGCGTGTGAGTTTTCTATATTCAAGTCTCACCCCTTATGTATATGTGTGGTCGAAGAAATCAAACCTGCAGTTAGACTGTTAATGAGTGATGTTAGTGGTAAGAGAAAAGTTAGCGGTAGAATGTTTTGTACTAAAATCGTGGTTTAATCAATTCATACTGTTAAAATTGTATCGTTTGAGCAGCTACGATATCAGGTCCGACTGTCCGGCACAATAGGATTTCGAATCTTTTGAAATTTTCATATCAATATGGTATCGTCGACTATCGAGGAAAAAATTTCACTTTATTATTAATATTTCATATTTATGATTAGAACGAACTATGGATATATAGTTCATTTTTATAATCGGATTGCAAACATGAAAATAAACATGATTGTTAGTGGTCGCAATCAAGTCATCATCAAAGTTATTGATTTCGATGAGGCTTGATTTTTATGACGGCAGAGTGTATATTATAGTGTTGAGATGATATATTAGTACAATAATGTCCATTCTGATCCAAACCTGTTTAGATTTACTTTTTAATATCTTCCCAAAAGATCTCACAAAAATGAAATTTGGTCGATAATAATCTATAAAAGTCTTTTTGTCTTATATTTTCAATGTAGCACTTGAAAAGTCTTGAACTGTCCACTAACACCAAGCATTTCGACGGATTTTCAAAAAAGAGAACACTATTGCATAACAAGAAGAAAGGCTCATAATATTACATATAAGCCCAGAAAGCACAAGCAACATAGCGATCAACTGATTTCATGTCTTTTCATTTTCATTCTTGATATAATCCAAATTTTCTGGAAGGTGGCATTTATTTCAGTATGTATAGGGTTGGTCGTTCGGTTGCCGGTTAACCGGTATGTTAAAACGATAACCGGCGGTAATCGGTTAACTGGCTAACCGAAAATTGCAATTTCAGACGGTTGGCGGTAGCGAGGCTAGTTATGCCGGTTAACCGGCTAACCGACGGTGATAACCTCCGGTTAACCGGCAAAGCTAACCTCCTCCACTCAAACAAAACGACGCTGCCCTCCAGTCTTCCGCCTAAACCCTAATCGAGCAGCCATGCCCTCAATCTCTCTAGTCTGTTCTCTGGCTCTGCAGCATCGCGAGACCCTCGCCTCCTCCATCTCCCTACCGCGGTGCCGCCTGCCCAACCCTCCTCCATCGCGAGACCCTCCGGCCATCTCCCTCTGCTGGCGGCGCTCTTATCGACCATCTCTCTCCCCAACTGTCGCGACGACCCTTGCTCCGCCAACGCGAAGTCGCCGCCAGCACCAGAAGCATCGCCGAGCAGTCCTTGAATGGACAGTAGTACCTCTCCGACTCCCCGATCAGGTTCCGGCACAGAGCCTCCTCCCACTGGTCGATCACTCCCTTGGGGAGAGCATCGCGGCACGATTCGAGGTCGATCACGGTCCCGCATCCCGACGTCGGGGCAGGTGACGGTGACCACGCTCTGCCCGATTTTCGCCTTCGTCCACCTTCATCCGCTTCCCGGGGCTCTCGACATCCTCGTCTCCCCTGGCGGCCGCGCCGAGTGTTTCGCCATTGTAGAGCGAGATTGAGCCGATTAGGGCCTCTTGGACCTGCAATCCGTGGGCGTATTTGGCGTCCGAGACCGGGAAGATGAGTTTCAGGACTTCTCCCTTGTCTTCATCGTCGTCGTTGTTAGAAGATTTCCCCGCTCGCGGCGGCGGCAGAGTTTGCAAGACGGCGTCGTTTTCTTCGTCGTCTTTATCGCGGTTACCACGGTTAACCGAGCAAATAAACGGTAACCGACCGGTCGGTTGCCGGCTAACCAATGGTTTCCGTCGGGCGGTTGGCGGTAGACACTGCTAGCGTCGCGGTTAACCGGTAACTGACATTTCGGTTATAGGTTATAATCAATCTAACCGAAAATCCAGCCCTAAGTATGTATCTAATTCGCTTCCTCCTTTCCACTTCATGCGATTGAATTTTAGTGGAAGTTGTCTGTTACAACGGGAAAAAGATGAGATCATACATATTTGCTTATGTGTTAGTTAATTTACAGACATGAAATATCAATTTTACGATATTTGTGGATATACAATTTATAGAGATTAGAATACATATATATTATATTATATTGATGGCCTGAAGTCTATCTAAATTGGAAAGGAAAATATTACGGACGAAACAAAAAACAATTGAAATATGTGTGTACTGTGACTCTTAGTCGGCGATATATAATTTGATTTGAAATCATAGCAATATTGTCAATTGTATTATTGAAGCTAGCTAGCTAGTAGCTAGTTAATCATCTAGCGGATGATTAAGATAGAAAAATTGGTTTCTGAGGCACTATTACGATGGAGAAGTGATTTAAACATGAAGCTTAACAACAACATGCCCACAACCTCCCTGGGCCGGGTCGGTCCCTCCATTATTATTGGACGCTAACCCTCCCTCCCAACCAACTTGATCTGGGCCTACTGATGATCCAATCAATAGTACCTTTGGGCCAGGATCCAATCACTTTCCACATAAGCCTTGGGCCCACCATATTTTTTTGTTTCCGACTAATTTTAATTTCAGATATTTGTTGAGCTAGCTAGCTAGGTTAGCTATCCGATCCAAAACGGAACCTATTTTCCGGGTACGAAACGAATACAAATTCATGTTTGAACTGAAACAAATAAAGCATCCTGAACTGCTTTACTCTGTAGAGATGGCGGCGAGTAATACTGAAGGAACGAAATGGCAGCATGCAAGGTCGACCTGATGCATGCGCATGGGATAAATTATTTGTGTACTATAACAATAATGCATGCTTCTCTTCTCTACAAATGGTGAAATGGGCTACCAATTATTGGTTCCAAAATTTGTTTGCTTTTGTTATTACTAGCTTTCTTTTCAATCATTGGCCGGGTTATTTTACAATTATTAATGTTGGGCATGTGACTCGGACCTAGCTGTGCAAGGCAAGACGCGCCGACAGAAGGCGCGCACGAAGGTCTAAGGCGCGCATGAAGGCTTAAGGGCGCGCATGAAGGCCTAAGCGCGAGTGGAGAGAACCAACGCGCGAAGACCCAGAGCTCCTCACAAGCTGCGCGAGAGTGGAAAGTATCAAGGCGCGGAGGCTCAGGCGCGTCGTAAGCCACGAAGCCACAAGGAGTTCCCCTCACACTTCCCGAGGGTCAGCCGCGTTGGGATCAGTGACACAGTCGTAGGTACACCCCTGACATGTCCTAGGTAGGGGGATGGCCAAAATCCCCGACATGTCAGTGGTCACATCAGAGTCAAGGTCCCATCATGTAATCCACCCACTCACCCACCACCATGTAGCCTATAAATATGGCATTTACTCCGGTGGGTGAGGGGGATCGCATTTTAGCCACTCTCTCTCTATAAACATCAACTTCTCTCTCTCAACTAGAATTCTCTCAAACTCACCCCTAAAGTTCCCGATTTTCCCTAGCTTACTCTTCTTGACCCACATCTTCCCTTAACCTCACTCCTACACTCAGTTAGGTTCAAACAATTGGCGCCCACCGTGGGGCCAAGAAGAAACGCTGAAGAAAACCCACCAATGGCAGAGCGCAACCACGACCAACCTGACCAAGCGACGCCAATCAAAGCAATGACCGACCCAAGGGCGTTCGCGGAAGCCAGCAACCTCAACGCGGTGCTCATCGAAGAAGAGGAGCCCGAGCTGACAGCCAAAGAAATGAGGGAGCTGTTGACGAAGCAAAACAACGTCATAGCCGACATGCAGAAACAAATGAGCCAAGTCATCGCGCTCATGTTGAGCAGGGAGGGCGCGCCAACAATAGACGCGACAGCGGTCGCGCCTCAACAAGCCTTGGGAGAAGCGTCGGGGACAGCCCAACTACCCCAACACGCGACAACGGAACTCCCCGCGTGCGAAACGCAAGGAGTCGAGCTACCAGGGCGGGCGGACCTCAGCTTTCTAGAGCAACACTTGTCTCCGCAATATCGACCCAACCCGCCTAAAAGGGTCCTCCACCAGCCATTGAGCGCGCAAATAATGGCGGAGAACCTAAGCGGAGCGCCACCCACCCTCCCAACATACAACGGCACGACCGACCCGGAAGACCACGTGAGCACCTTCTGCTTGCGCATGCAACTCCAAACCAACTCCAACGCCGCGCTGTGCAGAACCTTCCCATCGACGTTCACCGGAATATGCCTCGACTGGTACAACCGCCTCCCGAACGGAATCATCCGCTCGTTCGAGGAGTTTATACTTCTGTTCACAACAAAGTTCGCGTCCCAGAAGCGGCGCCCTCTTCACCTCAAGGCCCTGATAGATATCAGGCAAAAAGATGGAGAAAGCCTGAGAGCTTTCTACGCCAGATGGTCCAGGGTAGCAATGGCTGTCCGCGACCTTACCCCCGAAACCGCCGCCCATCACCTCATGGAGGCCACCAACAATATGGAGATCAAGCGGGCGTTAGCAAAAAGGCCCGTCACGCTGTCAACAGAGTTGGAGATGAAGATCGAAAAGGCAATCACGTTAGAAGAAACCCTGGGGGCAGGATCCGTTAGACGCTTCGAACCGGCAAAAATGCCGCGAGAGGAACAGGCGCGTCGGCAACCTCCAACCCCGATCCCACGAGACCAGTTGCTACAGATGCACAGTGGCCCGAAGCGCAACCCTCCTCCCCCACCAGAGCAGGCGCAGCGCGGGCGATCGCCAGACAGGCGCTCGTCCAACGTCTACACTCCCCTTAACGACTCCGTGAGGAACGTGTTCCACGTTCTCCGCGAGAAAGGCTACAAGCTCAATTGGCCTGCCCCGTTGAAGTCCCAACCCCACATGCGCAATCCAAATAGGCATTGTGAATTCCACAGAGCAACGGGGCACCAGACGGAAGACTGCCGAGAGCTACGGTACGAAATAGAGGGCCTCGTACGGTGAGGATTGCTAACCGA